AATTGCCTCACACGACAGTAAAAGTTCAAAGGATAATTTCACCAGTCGCATGCTTGCCACAGTATTTCTTTGTGTTGCTAGTATTCTTGAGAGTTCATTGGAGATCCCAATCTTAATGCTCGTTCAAGTAAATCCCTAGAATCAAGAAGAACAATTTCTTATTTTAAAGGTAACCTAGAATACACAAGATTAATGAGAGCTGCCAGATGATCATGTAAAGGAAAGCATGGGGGATGTTATTAGAAGTGATTGTAATGTAATGGTGAAAAAAGTGGACAGAATGATAACTTGCCCTGGACAGGTATCAAGCCTGCGACCTTCGAATAATGCCTTCGATTCTTTACCAACTGAGCTACCACGGTGGCTATACCCCTTATTGGATTAAAAGGTATGTTTGTGCATTTAAATGTGGCAGCGTTTGTCAGCGCCGCCTGGTGACATTGCGGCGAGCATGGGAAAGTCATTTTTAGCCTGTTTGCGTCACGTAACACATGAGCTTATTCGGAGCTGACAGCTGACCTTCCTGTCCACTTTTATTTCTTCACAATTATATCACAATTACTTCTAATAACATTCCCTAGGCTCTCCTGGGTGTAGTTGTTTGTCAGTTCTTATTAGTATGGTGGCTAACAAAGAAAACAAGCCCTTAAGTTTCCCCTTCTTTCATAGCACATACGTCAAACTTCAAACCTAATTTATTTAATAGACAAAAACTGAAAGGTCGCCAAGGCTAAAAACCACGAGAACGGCTTGACAAAAGCCCTGGTGACCTGTACATACATATGGCAGTAGTGTGGAAATGATTAGAGGTACATAACTTGCAAGTACTAATATAAAACATGAACAATGAACAATACATACTAACTCAAAAATGATTTCACAATTGATTATTTTTAAAGAAATGTTATAAATGTGCAATAAAAAAGGAGTTTCCAAAAATCAAGGTACATCGTGCATAGACCATCGCATACATTGACACTTGTGCACTTTAACGCACACATATATACATTTCGTGAAACACAAAGTGCATACGCAATATAACAAGATCATGATACAATGTATTTAACGCAAGATTAAACTATGAAAAATACGAGACTTTGAGAAAAATTGTTGCGCATGTTCCTATGATGCCAGAGAGCAGAAATGAGAGTGTCATTGTTTCTTCTTGAAGGTTGTCATACTTTCGTGCGTATTAAGTGTTTGGGAACGTTGTAGGCCAAGGCTTGGTATTTATACGAGGCGAGGAAGCGCAGTACAAACCAAATGTCTGTATTTTTTATGGGAACTGAAATGACACGACGCTCGATACATGAAAGCGGTCAAATGAAGTCGGAAAGCTCCCTATTCGAGAAATAAAGTGTGTGCGATAAGCGCACTGTATAAAGGTTGCAAGCTCCTATTATAGTGAATTCTCGGAAAGCTGCACGCGTCGTTCCGAACAGGTCAATATTTCCAATTTGGCAGACTATCTTTTTTTTTTGCGGAACAACGACTTTATGTTTGCTTTGCTTGTAGTTGCCCAAACAAGATTAAAATACATTAGATGTGAATTAAACAGCGCATAATATATATGAAGTTTGACCTTGAGATGCAAAATGTTACGACAACAAGACATCACTTCTGTCATCAAAGAAAACTTCTTACAAACGAAATTTACATGTGTATGCCAGCCAAGGTTCGAAGAAAAATGAACTCCAAGTATTTTGTGGGTATCAACAATATCTATCGGCACTGATTGAAAAACTAAAGGTTGATGGGTAGTGAGTACTTTATTTTTGGTAGGAATAAGAATGACTTTGGTTTTATTTCGATTAATTTTAAGCCGGTTCATTCTGGCCCACGATGAAATCCTTGATAGTATATGATTTGCTTTACTTATAATATCATCTAAATTAACACCATCAAAGGTTATTGTTCAATCATCTGCATGTATCACGTATTTACCTCCTGTGGTGTCGACTTGAACAATATCATTAATGTAAACAATAAACATCAGCGGAAGTATAGTGCCTTGCGGTACACCACAAGTGAGGGGCAAAAATGGTGAGCTATTTCCAATAATGCAAACACTTTGGCACCGATTGCTAAGATATTGAAACACAACAGCCGGCACAGCCTTGCTGCAACAAAGAAAAAACGACGTCGGTTGCTGGTTGTTGATGTACTGTCGCCATCTTGATCGCCGAACACGGTCCATCGTATATAATTATTTAAATAAGTTACTCGTAACATCATTGGTGGAGGTAGACGACTCCCGTACCTCGATGGAGACGCGCAGTGGTCGCAACACTGGGGACTGTTCGGCTGCTTCAACTGCCAGTGCCTCATCCCCACCGCTCTCTCGAGCTGGGTCGACAACCTACGTCACTCTGCCACGCCTGAGGGATCCTGGCACTTTCTCTGCTGACGGTACCATCGACGATGACTGCTGACTGTACCGGTAAGAGCGGGTCAGTGCTACCCACAGCTGGGATCCCACGCTCATGCTCGCCAATGTTGTGTTCTACCTCGACGGCACGCCGCGGACATGGTTCGAAACCAATGAAGCACAAATCACAGGCTGGGATCTTTTTGGCGATTTATATGGTCGTCAGCTCGCGGCCAAAAAGACTCTCGCCACTCACGCTCAGACGTCTACTGAATCGTACGTCTCATACATTCTTGACGTCTTGCCGCTTTGTAGGAAGGTTTACAAGCGCATGTCGGAAGACGAAAAAGTTAATCACGTCCTCAAAGGGACTGCTGACGATGCCTTCAACCTGCTGGATTTTTATAGTGTTACGAGCATCGACACGATCCTGACAGAATGCCGCCGTCTAGAACAGGCTGAAGCCCGCCGCGTCACCCACGGCATCACGCGCCTGCTGAACACAACTGATACTCCCTCTTGTGATGACGCCATCCGCCCAGTTCCCCGATGTGACAACCTCACCCGCATCATTCGTCGCGAGGTCAAGGCAGCCCAACCAGTAGCTACTCCATTTCCAGCACCTGATCCTTCACCGACCACTATCTCACTGATACAAGCCGTCGTTCGTCAAGAATTATCGAGCGTCGGCCTACACCCCGTTCAACCAGTCTACTCTGACAAGCCTTTTGATCGTCGTCCCTCCGCTCCTCGTTTTTCGTTCCAACTACTCTCGACAGCGCAATTCGTCCGAATGGCGTACACTGGACGACAAGCCTATATGCTTCAACTGCCGACGTGTTGGTCATGTTGCTCGCCACTGCCGCAATCAATGGGCTCCGCCGGCACACTATGGGCCTCCTACCCAGGCCACTTCTGTCCACCAGTCGTCCTCAGCATTTGTTTTTGATTCCCCTATGCCGACCACATCCTCTGATTCTGCAGCATCTCTGACGAGACCCCGCTACGCCCGCTCACCATCCCCTGCTCGTCGTCTTTCTCTTTCTTGCAGCAAGGCTGTGCCGGCTGTTGTGTATCAATATGATTGAATTAAAGATGTACAATAATCTATATATATATATATATATATATATATATATATATATATATATTCAATGGTGGGCCAGTTAGTCTTCGTGAAGGTATGGGATATGGCACAACGGGAGCGTTGTCAACAAGGATAAATATATTTATTTCCCAACAGTTTCGGGAGGGGACCTCCCTTCATCAGGGGATGAGTTATACTGAACTGACAGTGTCAGTATAACTCATCCCCTGATGAAGGGAGGTCCCCTCCCGAAACTGTTGGGAAATAAATATATTTACCCTTGTTGACAACGCTCCCGTTGTGACATATCCCATACCTATATATATATATATATATATATATATATATATGTGTGTGTGTGTGTGTGTGTGTGTGTGTGTGTGTGTGTGTCACAAATGCTGGCTTGACATTTGCTTGCTAGCCTGACCTTCTTGGTTAAGCCACTCGTGCTGCCTTACGTAACGCATCAACGATACTTGCGCGATACCTAGCGCCACTGCCTATAATTCTGTGCGACCAATAATCGTAGTTGAGTTCGCGCATTTACAATTCATATAAGGCAGTTTGCTTTTCTGTAGGAACACTGAGGTCAACAGTTTGTGAACAAAAGGTGTACTGCATGGTTTGGCTGACCTTTTGCTGTACACTAAGTTTAGCTTTGTTTTTATTCCTCTATACATAGCTGGCGTAACAACTGTTAGCTTTATACTTACGTTTGGCTGGTTACAAAACGATGCACAGCTTGGTAACGCTAAACGGACCAATTTTCTATATACGAATACCTTCCAATAACCCACGCTCCTTCCCCCTCCTTCAAAAAAAAAAAGAAAAAAAAGAAAACCACAACTTCACTCAAGAGCCTCACAAGTGCTTCTTACATAGACATTTCCGACTAATGCATAGATCAGCCATGAATGTAGCTGAAAATTTGCTTCAACCAACGTTCTTGATTTTTCCTCAACTCAAACTTACAAATAGAAGACAATTTTTGGCTAAGCCACCTCCTACCTTTAGGCCTCTTTCATATGGCAGTACAAAATGACGCTTACTAAAAAGACATCGATGTTTGGAATAATTATTATTGATTCAGTGGTAACAGCATTTGATTTTCAGGTGTGCCCTCTAACATATAGAACCATAGATTAATTTTAGCTTGCTTGTTAGTCTGTTGTTGAGCAACTTTCAATTCATTCATTTTCTGCGTGTTCATTACTTTATGTTACAGCGTTTAAGTTCTTAATTTGCGTTGCTCTGGCCCGTTATTGATGTGCCCGCAACTTGGACATGTCTCTGCACTGCTGATCTGCACTGCTGATCTGCACTGCCATGACCTGAAAGTAAGCTTCAGAAATTCATGTCTATAACCTGTTGAACTTACATCTCTCGTATTTCTTGAACATGATTTACTAAATTGACGTTGAATTGTATAATTGCGCATGACATCAATATGTAGCCCACATCCTGTCATGAAAAAAAAAACATTCTGCCCCACTTCATGCAATAACTGTGTCTATCATTTTTCACTTTCTGAAGTTGCATTCTCACCGATGAGACGAACGATGTGCGGGTGATCCAGTTGTGCCATGGTCTGTGCCTCGTTCATGATTTCTTCCTGCGCAGGGCAGAGTTGAAGTTTTTAAACACTTCATAAACAGCTTGGCAAGTGTCTACATATTGTCAAAACAGATGAAATTTCAGGTTGCGGGCCAATCCTGGTCGTAGTATGTTGCGCCGGGTTAAGACGAGCAGCGAAATAATAAACTAAAATTTAGCGTTTCGTATGGTTCTGTGTTTGTCAGGTGTCTGTCCTCGCTGTTTGATACTCACTACAAAAATAATACTGTTTTGGATTCTTGCTCGGGCAAGCGTAATTAAAGAGGCAATAGGAAGCCCATGAAATACCATATTCAGATATTTCATTCCGATTTTCACGAAATATTTGTTTTTCGAAAGTGGAGTCGCAAAACAGTGCCAAGTATTGTATAAGAACAGTGCCAAGTATTGATAAATATACACCCTGCTAGTTGATCAAGTGTGTTTTTTTTCGCTCGCAGATAATATTAAAAAGAATGGCAACATCACGCGAAAAACTAACAGCTCCCAGCACTGTACTGGCTTGGTAGTTTCAGGCCAGTGCACATCACGGGAAAGTCAGAATTTATATATATCAATTGTACTTCCAGATTAGCTAGACATCGAAACAATCTGTGAAAGCATGTACATAATTTATAGTGTAAGACTGAATTTACACAGTTGTGTAAGCTGAATGGTCGCAACAACTGGTCGCCACAACCAGGCATTATCATTCAGTATCGCTAAATGTAAGATATGTAATAGGTTGGTCCTATAAAGAGTTATACTTAGTATTACCAGAGCTTCACGGTCTAAACCACGATATGATTATGTGGTACACAGTATCATGGACCTGCGGAATAATTTGGACCACCTGAATTATAATGTAACTATATTTGTTTAGTTATAATACGCTTAAGGTCAACTAACATTACAGAGGGGAGTGGTACAACATTATAAACAATATCAAAGGGGCCCTGCACCACTTTTTGAGCCTGGTCAGATAACACTGCTGATCAGTAGTAGAGGCTTACGAGAACACGCGAGTGAAGTGTAGCACAGCACGTGGCCTGTAATACACAATAAATTCTCAAAATCAGCTAAAAACTGCTGCCCCTTCTCTCGAAAATTGACGGAAGACGCTGAAAAATTCCTCGCAGAGGGCCACGTATTTGCCATTCGCTGATTTGCACATAGCACACTCAATCGCGACAGAAATTTCCGCAGGAGGCCGCGACTTGTCGACGCGTGCACGTGCGATCACACTGACAAAGTCATCTATTGGAAGAAAATAATAATAAAAAGTGCTCACTGTCACAAGACATGCGTGACTCTCTGCTTAGCTTCCAGCGCTTTCGTGGGGACAAGAGAAGAGAAAGTGCGATTGCTGCATACGACAAATATTTATTACTCCACTCATACTGGACAGATTTTTAAAATTTTTGTGGCGTTCCATTCGTGAGGCAATAAGCTCTTTAGTGAGTCGACTTCATGGTTGCATAAAAAATAGTTTCAGGGCCCCTGTAAGTACAAAGGAACAATACGATACAATAATAGTGATTTATAGGCTCAGCACGGGATCAAATACCAGCGGATATATACATACCACAGAAAAAAACAGCATTTCTAAATATAAATTTGTAGCCTTTACAAGGCAATATATATAAGGTAATCGAGCAACGTACTGTTAATGCGATAGCGTTAAAGAGCTCATTTCACAAAAATGTTGGTGTCAGCTTCGGCATTGGCCTTGTTAGTTGTGAGCAAAAACTCATCGGATGCGTACCGAAAAATCAAGAATGATGCAAATATTATAAATAAATGATAAAAAGCACTGGAGCAGAGTGTGGACGGAACAAGGGTTGTTGGGGTTCGAGTGGGCACGAAACCCGTTTGCGTGGCAAGCCGATGATCTGCCACACGGCCGCGTCTCTGCCTGTGAAAACAGTGAAAAGAACTTCCTGTGCTGGGAAATGCAGTGAAATTAGCTTTTACGCTTCACACACACATGCGAATACTGTATATATCTTTGACAATGCAACATGAAACGTTGCAGCAATAATGCATGGTCAAGCGTCCATTGCCAATGGGAGTCAGAATATGTAATTATCATAATGGCTTCGTGGTTCAAAGCCAGTCACACATTACAAAAGGCACACATTTTATGTATACCGCGCCTATTTCTTTAAGGCCACGTAGTGAGTACATGGCAAACCCGAACAGGTTTCAAGCATTAGGTGTTTGAGGTACACACTACGAACAGGATGTTGCTATTGCGTTCAACTCCTAAAGGCGGAGCTTGAGGGTCTCCTAATTTGTATACCATTGTGGCAATGAGCGTGCAAGATGCAACAGGGCTGACAAAAAATTCGGTAACAAAGCCACAAATATATTATGTTGTGGAATAGTCAGCCTACTATTGATATGGAAAGGCAGTTGTAATCATTTGATGGGCGCGGAATCTATGACTTTTGGAATGATTCAGTACTAGACGACGTAGTGCCAACCTTTTGAGCATTATCTAAAAGGCTTGAGACATGAGGAGGAATTATTACCAGATCACCTTGGTGACAATGATGATAGAAATTGTGAAAAAGTGTTCAGCAGAGCATAGCACGGTAGGACCTGAAGCAAGGGTAGGTAGTTTAAAGTTAGTCTTTATTTGTGTGATCCTCTGATTTCGGTCACGATGGTAAAATATAATGCAGACAGATGTATTTGGTACCATTTTAACTGACCGAATTAATATGATATCGATCTCAAGGCAATGAAGCATATTTAGGTTAATACGAATGGAAGTTATTTTGACGAATCGAGGTGATTCCGCGAAGTTACAGTGAAAATATCTGAGCTTGGGATTAGCAGAGTGCTGGTTTGGGCTAGTTGGTATGACATGACGATTGTTATAGCACGAAACCAGAACGGCGAGAAAGCTTGTCGTATTCTTGCCCCTTTGTTGTCGTTCTGATCTTGCACTTTAGGAATCGTCATGGGATTAGCGTTTGAAACAAAGTAGCTGATATGTGTAGTTCATGTTAGGTTGTGACCGATGTGAATTCAGATTTATTTGTAGGAAGTTACACTGTCCTATTGTTTGTTATTTAGGTTATAATCTTGTAATATATTGAATGTTCTATACACACGCACGAATTCACACTTTTCACTGCTTTGTTTTATAAGCCATGTGTATATAAAAAGTTTTTCGGTGACACACTTTGCCGCTTCCTTAGAACGTCACCGCAAAGGTTTTGGCAATACTTCAGTGACAGGAAGGAAGAGATACAAGAAATTAGAAGAGATAATGAAGTACTGATAAACAAAAAAGGTATTGCATATAATTTCAATCACTTCTTTCAGTCCGTATTCACCGTGACTGATACTGACGTTGCCGTAAGTTCGGAATGCACCGCTCATAGCCAAATGGATGACGTCAATATCAGCCAGGAGGGCGTATTTGAACTGCGATTTAATTTAGATTCGAAGAAAGCGAACGGACCAGATGATATAGCGACCCAGTGTTTTCAGAGATATGCTGAATGGGTGTCTCATTACCTAACACTTATGTTTGATAAATCATTGAAAACACATTCTGTGCCACAAGACTGGCGCAGTGCGGTAGTCATTCCAGAGTTTAAGGAAGGAATCTGAACGACGGTGAATAATTACTGGCCTATATCACTCACTGCCATCTCTAGTAAACATTTAGAACACATAATAGCCAAGCATATTATTTGTTACTTTGAAAATAACTCTCTACGTTACCCCCACCAGCATGGATTCACATCACGCTTCTCCACTATCACACAACTCATACAGACGATTCACGATTTCGCTGAAGCAATTGATACTAGGGAGCAGATAGATGTAATAGCCATAGATTTTGCCAAAGCCTTCAATAAGGTGCCACACAAAAAGCTAATTTACAAGTTGGAAACAGTCGGACTTAATGCCACTGTTATAAAGTGGATTAAGGCATACCTAACTGATCGCAAGCAGCAGGTAAAATTGGATGGGCATGTCTCTGACTCACTGTCAGTGCTTTCGGGAGTCTCGCAGGGATCTGTTCTGGGACCACTCTTGTTTTTGGTGTATATTAATGACATCTCTGTTCTTGGGGAGCCAGGTGTGCACCTTAAACTATTGGCAGATGACTGTTTATTTTATTCCACTGTACGAAACAAAGAGGATCAAGTTAAGGTTAACATATCTTTATAGGCCTTGAGCAAATGGTGTGAAAAATGGAATATGAAAATTAATTATTTTAAATCGACATACACACATATTACAACTAATAAGAGCCGTTTTTTTATTTTCATACACTATCGGAGACAAGTATTTGATAAATACTACTTATTTTAAATATCTAGGATTAATGATCACGGAAAATTTATCTTGGAACATACACATTAGCAATGTTTGCTCAAAGGCATATGGGAGGCTATGTTTTCTACGAAAAAAGCTAGAAGGTGCAACAGCCGATGTGAAACTTGCTGCTTATGAAACCTTTAAAAAGCCTGTTCTTGAGTACGCGTCGGTGGTATGGAGCCCTCATCAATATTATTTGAAGAAACAAATAGAAAAATTTCAAAGGTACGGGGTGCGATTTATATGCTCCCGGTATCGAAGGACGGAATCAGTTACAGAAATGCTCCATTCTTCTGGCCTTCATTTGTTCGAAACGCGCTGACAGAAAAATTGTCTGAAACTATTATTTCAAATTCTAAATGGCCAAATAAATATTAGAAAGGAAGTATACTTACTGCCACCAGGTAAAAAAGAGCCCAAGAAGCAACCACAACAGGGCAATTCAAACGTACAGGAATCGTACGGATAGATTCAAATACTCCTTTTTGGCTAATACAATTGAAATGTGGAATGATTTGCCGGTGAGTGTTGTTGACCAGAACGATTTGTCGAAATTTGAACAGACCTTGGATAATTATCTGTGCCATTGTAGCGATTGATCTTGATCCGTCCTGTATTTGTGTATTTGCTAATAATGTTTTGTTATGTCACCCTCTCTGTAAAAACTCACGCATGAGAGATGACAGTATTGCTAAATAAATAAATAAATAAATAAATACCAGCTAAAATAGTATTAAGGTCAGATTGAAGGAGGGTGACGTAATAAGGTCCACTTGATTTATGAAAGATTAGACAGACATCCGTAAACGAATGAACATACGAGGAGACCAAAAATGGCAACTTGTTATTATAGATGAGAAAAAAAAAGAAGGCCGGGGACGGAGCCCTGTGGTACTTGAAAATTTACTGCGCTTTAAATAGAATTTGTTAAATAGAAAACGGTTAGTAAGGAACTTTTCAATCCAGGTTACAAGGTAGCAATAAAGTTTAAGTGCACATAATTTATTAATGAGCTTTTTGTGCCACACCTTGTTGAAAGTGTTAGAGAAATCTAGAAAAATGCAGTTGACAAAAATATCTATTATCAAAAATGGACTTCAGTTTATGTATAAATAGTATTATTGTGTTTTGCAGGAGTGTTATTTGGGAGATCTATGCTGCGATTGTGTTAAAAAAGAAGTGTGTGTCTAAAAAGTTATCTGTATGAGAAGCCAGAATGTTTTCTAAGATATTACATGGTATATTAGTGATAGAAATTAGCCTGTTGTTTAAAGAAGAATGATCATTACTTGATTTATGCATTTGAACTACGTTTACGCCTTCCCTATCAGATGGAACAACACTGTCATTTCGTCAATAAGTAATTGTTAAAACCTTTTACTGATGATTATGGATGGACGGCAAGCAGTGCTTTTGAGAAACTCACCGTCCAGTGCACAATTTTTAGTGACCTAATAATGCTTGCGACATCATCGTAACTGATCATGATAAGGAACATTTCATTGTGGTAACATGGTTGAATAACAGGAGGAGTGGCAAGAGGGGGTAAAGAGAAATTTTTCAGAAAACGCCATTCAGAATATTGGAACATTGGTCGTTGGATTGAGCATAACCTCTAAGATTGTTAACTACAATGCTATCTTTGTCTTGATGGTTAATCATGCAGCGAAGTTTTCTAGGCTTAGTCTGTTGCACAGAAGGTAAGATGTTGCCGATAGGGTTCGATCGATTTTAGACAATTTTTAAGGCATGTACGTATTCATTGTTGCTCTGTTCGTAAGTGGTGATTTCACCGTTCTAAAATCCACTGGTGTCCTCACGCACTACCTAGGTGACGTCAGCATAAGTAATGCTTTGACTATCAATGAACGCGGAATTATTCAGTACATGCAAGTGCGTGCCATTGAGACACCCATCAGCTTCTTTCATACGCAATCGGCGCTAACTTACACTCTGCAGCTCACGTCATATTAGGCAGCGTTCTTGTGGGACACAGACCACGCATAGTAGACACCGATGAGCGTCTCTTGCGAGCACTCGCAGATGCCGTAGAGTTCCGTGTTCCTCGATATGCAAAGCGTCTATGCAGGTTCACTCGGGCTGATGATATAGTTAGCGCTGTGGCTGCCGATGGTGCCGCATCGTTTAAAGCCTTTTGCCTAAAGCCAAAGCACGCCTCCGCCAGAACGTGTGACGCAGCCCAGGCGCATATAATAGATAAATCGCGTGAGTTGGCACACCATTCGTTGTTTCCGATTTCGGACTCGATCCATATGTTTCTTTCAATGCGATTATATCTGGTTTGCATGTGTCATTAGCTGTTCCAATAAAGGACGCTTGGTAATAATACTTCTGATGTTAGTAAAAAGCAAGGATGTATTCAGCAGTTCACGTTTGTTGACCCTGTCACGATACTATTTCGCAGAGTGACCAGACTGTCGAGATGCGTATTATAGGGCGAGCTTCGTATTGCCAGTCATAAATCCGGGTGCTCGTAATGACTCGACTTCTTTCAAACATTCACTTATCGTATCATTAACGCAATAGATTTTATTCATAATGAGTATTTTGTAACTTACTTGATATTTCTTTATGACAGGTTGATTCCTTACAAAGCTTAATCATTTTCGTCTCCCTTCACGTTTGCCTACACAGAATGAAGTCTTCAGTAATTAGTGGTGCTCTTACGGAAAGCACTTTAGGTGTTGGTTTAAGTACAAAAACTTAACAAAACATTTATAGGCCGGAGAAGGAAGAAATAGTCTGAAGTACAGGAAGGTTGGCACGTTCATAGAAGTTATTGGCTGGCTTTTAGTGAGCGCGTACGAGGCTCACCAATAGGCATGCTCGATTGTGTTGTCTAGTACGACATCAAGCGCATTTGTTATGGTCAATTTTATATTCAATTTAGAATGTTCCCACAATTCTTCAGATTCTGCAATACCTCAAGAAAGTATGTAATTGCACTGAGAACAGTCCTGTCATTCATTCGTATAGGTAGGGATTGGAAGTGCCCAAGCTGTTTTTAAAAAGGCCTCCATGCTATCAACAGCCGGCTGGGTATATTTAGTTTCTTGCTTCGAATCCATTGAGCATGTTCTGTATCATTGAAACTTGTACCATTGAATTTTGTTTAGACCCGTATTATTTCTTCGACGTCAGCTGCTAACGTGTCCTGCATTTTGGCTAACAGAGTTGTCTGCGCACGAAGGTTCCTAATGAGGTTAAATATAACTGTCATCTTTTTGTAGGGATTATCAGGCAGTGAATTCATGTCAAGCCAAGTCTGCGAGCACCTGTCAGGGCCCAGGTTAGCTTCAACATCACCACAGCGAAGTAATAGGTAAATTTTCAAAAAATATTAAGCGTGAATACACTTTATAAGCGACCCCAAACCATCCACCACCGTCAGCGGCGTCCGCAGTATTCTCTCTATCTTTAAAAGAAAGAGGACTTGGCGGGCCGCAGGCGACGCTCTACCGAATAAGCCACGGACGCGACGCTGATATCGGTGTCGCTCCTCCGCTCTCCTCGCTCGCTGCTGCTGCGCGCGCACCCCTCTCTCTCTCGCGCGCCCGCCTTCTCTCTCAGTCTCCCGTCGAGAGCGGGTCGTGCGATGGATGTCCCGGAGGCAACGCTACCATCTGGATATAAGGCACGTTACTGACACCGATATATATATATATATATATATATATATATATATATATGTATATGACTGCGGACGCCGCTGACGAGCGGTGGATGGTTTGGGGTCGCTTAAAAAGTGTATTCACACTTAATATATATATATATATATATATATATATATATATATATATATATATATATATATATATATATATTTACAAAAACCAGTATATATATATATATATATACTGGTTTTTTGTAATCAATATCGCTGAGCCCTTCCGGGCTCGGAAGCCGCATAAAACATCAGCTATCACTTTTCGCAGCATACAGAGAACATGGCTTTGACACCTGTAAAAGGCAGAAGCGTAGAAATCGAGGTATAATCTCTCGGTGCGTGCCTCTGTACTTACTAAAGCAAGTTTTGCAGTGCCACCTATTTAAGCCCTGTCCCGGTGGTGATGTCAGTGTCCCTATTGTACATATAAGTACACGGGGACTATAGCATTACGCCTCCATCGAAAAGCTTTCAGCATGACTGGGTATTGAACTCGCGTCCTCGAGTGGCACCGCCACGGTGTGGCGAGCGTTCTCACCTTGTGATCTCCCACTATCGTGTCTCGGAGCCTCTTCACCGCGATCTGGACTTCCACGGGTCCACTGCCGAACAATGCGCGGTGCACTTCACCAAAGTTGCCGACGCCTGTGCAGACAAAAAAAAAAAAGAGGGGTGGGATGGGGGGCGATACAGAGAGACGTACAGGTGTCTATGCTGCTGCTAGCGCATTCACCATATGCTAACGCTGCTTGAATGCACTGTTGTTGAACCGACGTACGTCAACTACTGCGCATTGAAATCATGAGGAACGATTGCTCTGTTCTTTGATGCACCGTTCCTTATTGAAACTAGCGTATACAATTCCAGTAGTCAGGTAGGTAAAGGTCTATTAATTTGCCTAAATACTCCCTGGTAAGGCTAGACTACATTAGGGATTCATTATGACAGATAAATGTTATATAATAAAGGCTGACAATACAAAAAATGCACTAGTCAAGTGACGCATTCAAACCAGAACTAGCAACTTGACAGGACTGAACAAGCGTTTGCGATGATCGCATTCATCGTTACTGTAAGTACAATGAAGCGCGTATAATTGTAATGCTGTTCGGGGGGAACGATGAAGCCGGAGACGGAGTTGCGTTGGAGGATGGTTCAAGCTGTTCAAAGGTCGTAAATTTTTGTCTCGCTTCCTCTTTCATGCTTTCGAACCATCCAACAGTTGTTTTCGAGAACTATTAAGGTGGTGTGTATTGGTGTGTATTTACAAGTTATTGTAAATGTAATGTAAAATGGCCCGAAATGACTTAATGATAGATTACTGTCAATTATATAAAAAATGCAATGAGGTAACACGCCCACTATATTATTTATATTAAGATGTCTAGTGTTTAGTCACACCCCTCCCTAAGTATGGGATATTTACTTTGAATAATCACGCAGTGATATTCCACGCGTGAGCTTTAAAAGTATGAGCTAGATTTAAATCAAAGACAGTACGAATGACTTCAACCTTGGCCAAGTTTCTCAACCCTTCTTTGACGCTGTGATGCGTTATATAATAATGGTATAGAAAGATTTCATTAGGTTCTGCTTAAGAACATTTATGGTAGGGAGAAAGTGAGACAGGTGGAAACCGGCCCTAAATTTCTGAGGCTAGAAAAGGGGCAACCCCCGTAGCTCATTCGCAACATGAGCCTTTTATGTAGCCGACACATTGCGATTTGATGCCGTATGAGTACATTGTCATGGTATTCACAAAACTGAACGTAGTCAAAGTATAGAATTACATACGAATACGGATCGAACATTGAGCATGACAAATCTCTTGTGCGGTCACTCACCTATTCTGTCCTTGAGGACGATAAGCTTGGGATCGAGGCTCATGGGTCCGCTGACGAAGCGCTTCATGGCCTGGTAAGCTGACTCGGACTCCTCTTTGGACAGCCATGGTTTGAGACCACCTGCGAGTGAAGAGATCGCGCATGGCAACGCAACGTTTAGAAACATACGTAAGATGAGTAATATTACAGTCATTTACAGTACTGACGAAATCAAGTTTTGCGTGGACCGGAAGCAAACATATTGAAAACGCCAGTGTAGTTGCATTTAGAAACACTGAAAAGAATTGCGAGTAATTTATTGTATTTCACAGTTTGCAATCCACCCCTGATTATATGCCTAATCTTGATATCGTTGTTTTCAGGCGTCAAACACTGTATTTATTCAGTTACACTTTAGCATAGCAACTTTGCAGTTTTACGTTCAGAGAGATATTGAGTCATCTGCAAAACGCAGACGCCGAACTTCCCGCCGCATGGCATGGCCAAAAAATAGTTAACTGCAATAATAAAGTAAATGTATAGAAGGAGAGCATTGTGCCAATGCCTGGAACCGCCTACTCCCCTTCTCTCGCACAACAGTCAACATTGCATATTAGGTAAAAAACACAAGCTTATACATACCTTTATAGTAGGCCAAATTTTTTTATACAGAAATGTGTCCACACCACATATAACACAAGTAATCACGCAATCGAAATGTCCGTACAAAACTTGAGAGTTCACTAAAATGTAAATGGCGATCATGTCTCTTAAATACTTAACTGTTTTCACAAAGGCTTTCACGAAAATATTGTAGTAAAACACAAGAATATTATGTTGAAACATATCGGTTAACAATAAGGGTAATGCATTTTCTTTTTTTTGTTTAATACTTTTGTTATTCGTCCAGTAAGTGAGCTACTGCACGCGCACCAGTGGCTTGTAACTTTTCTTTTCGCCATGGGCCCAAGATATTTGCTAGTGATGTTGGTCACTTATCCAAACAGTTTAGTCTTTGTAAAAGTTTCTTTCGAGGTCCATCTTAATTTCTACAATGTAGAAGAGTGTGCCCAACGTCTTCTACAGCTCCTCCACATGAGCAGGCAGGACTGTTAGCTTTTCTTATTCTGTACAGGAAGGCCTTCGTGTAGGCCGTGTTAAGTCAAAATCTATGGATGACTGTTTCTACAAATCGGCGTCGATAGTGTTCTCCTCTCTTGGCACTTCCATATACATGTCGTTTATCTTACAGCAAGGCTTCAATGTTGATAACGTCCCAGTAGGCCGAGACTGTCGAATGCAGAGAGTAATTTCTCACAGGCAGGCCTTTAGTTACCTGTTCGTTAACTCTTCAGCTCCACACTCACCGTCACAGCTAAACGCGGTGCTGGCTTACGCCTCCAGGTTTGCACGCACAGAAAGGACCACTAAAGTACACGGAATAAGTACTGCCGTCTTACAACAATTTTTACGAAATTGGGCGCTGCCTTATCCGTATGTTGCAGGTTCTATGCTTGTGGAGGCAAAGTTTACTTTGTGGTTTGGCAAACTTTCTTTCCATTATTACCCTTACTGCAACGCTTCTGTTTAAGACTACAAACATCGTCCCTATGCCTCCATCGGCCTCGCTACCAGCTGGTTTATTCAGGTTATGTTTAACGAACAAAACGATCTCCTGATCTATACCCGTTCTATCACTCTTTTTGATTAGTGACAGTCACGCATCGTGCGCTTTTCTATTTGTTTGTCTGTCTCAGAGCGCTATAGTTCATTTGGCTACGTTTACAGAACGGAGACACACCTGGCATTTTCCTTTTTCTCGTTTTGTCTTCTCTTCGTAATTCGTGTAGTGTATTAACGTTTCTAGAAAGAACAAAGAAGAGGCTCTAAAGTGTGCACGGTGACCATAGAACGGTGTTGCTGAACCTTGGATGTGTGCTCACTGAACAGTCTTGGGACTAGCCGAAAACCACCGGCCAAGTCGAGCCGGGCGCGGGTTTTCGGGTAGCCCCGAGCCCGTAAGTAAGGGAGCTTGGGACTCACTTAAGCTCTGTGTTTAGGGTTGGGCGCGAGTTTGAGGCGGCGGGCTCAGGTTGTGCCGGGGTTGAACTTAGCTCAGTTCTTAAAGGGTCTTCGCAAATGACCTTAAGTTGGAGAGCCACACGCGTGAAATGAATACTTGAAGCAGAGGTTGGTTCTGCATTGTGGTCTTGCACGCACAACTGTTAAAATGACTACACATTGTAGACTACCGCTCGTGGTCCCCCAATATGATTAACCCTGTTAAGGCTTCACTTTCTGTTCATTGGTGCTCCGACCATTTCTAGCACTCCCATTTTGAAGTACACTTCAGTTTCACCAAAAAACAGCCATGTTATTTCTAAGGTTGCACGGCGGGCTTGTTGGTTATTCATGTTGTTCGAGGTATTTCTAAGCTTTCTTTGCACTGTACAGAAGGCGGCTGCACACCCTTGTCAGCTGACACGGCATTGCAGTCTAAGATGAACGTTAGGACAGCACCTGAAATTAAATTAGCGTATCCCATCCACCAAGCAGGTGATTTGTGCGTCGTGGTAACCCCAGTCACGTTCCTTGCCACAGATTTCAACTTCTCGGAAACGGGCCAGGGAACTAATTTTTGTTATATAGATATGGCTTTTTAACGCGAAATAATCTAACTGCGCATATATATTTTAGAATTTTTAATAAATTGTTTGTTGTTAAGTTTAATAAACACTGATAAAAAGCTTTGTAAACAAAACAAAAACACTACTGACGTAGTGGGGCTCAAACCCTGGTCCACTGGATGCCAGCCCAGCATTCTACCACGGAGCCACACCCGTGCTTGGGATCTGTTGGCAAACTTGCCTTAGGCAGGCTTTATGTCGAGAAAGCAATCGCGTTAATACGACTTATAAGCGTTTTAAACCAGCGAAACAACCAGTCGTCACACAATGTGAATAGCGTAACGAGGGGGTCGTCTAATGCTCGAACCCATTAGAAAAGCTTTTTATTCCCCTATTAACTTGTGGCGCATACCCGCTTCAGGCATATTTCCTCATCGTCGTCAGCCACTGCATAAACGATTGGCACAAAAATGTTTGCAAGAGTTTAGTGGATACCATGTATCTCAGAAGAATGACTAGAAATAACAAAGCGAAGGCCAGCCTACTACCCAAAAACTTTTATTAATAACGACGTAGTGGACATGAAGCAAGTGCGCTTGCCGCAGTTACCCAATGAGTGTTCATAAAAGGTTCTGAAAGGCCGCTCTTCTAGCTTTCACTGTGACTGTGCTGCTCCTTCCACGCAGGCTTAGCGTTTTTTTTTTCAATCAGCACTAGTTATTTATCACGATCAGAGTGCATTGAATTTTGCATTAACGCTGACCGATGTGAAGTTTAACGTCCCAAAACCACCATATGATTATGAGAGACGCCGTAGTGGAGGGCTCCGGAAATTTAGACCATCTGGGGTTCTTTAACGTGCACCCAAATCTGAGCACACGGGCCTACAACATTTCCGCCTCCATCGGGAATGCAGCCGTCGCAGCTGGGATTTGATCCCGGCTGCGCTACAAATGTTCCAAATGGTTCAATTGGTCCAAATGAAACAACGGTGTACTAATTCGCTAATAGAACCAATTGAAACCAATTGGAAACTTTGCAATTGATTCCAACTGTTTTTTTAAGCATCCCTACAGACGGGCTCTACTAATATAGGGTTTTTTTTGCTTGTGTAGAGCAACGGCATTTTTACAGAGATGAATGGACACTGTACTCAAAGGGCTAAAGTGGCAGTCTGGTCTTGTGTACCTCAATGATGAGGCGGTCTTTTCTTAGGCACTCGAGCAGCATCTCTACCGCTGGCGCAGTGTCATGTAGTCTATCTAATCGAAAGACCTTACACTAAATGCACAGAGGTGCCACTTTATTTATTAGGAACTCAAATTTGTTGTGCATGTTAGCACCGAAGGGACCAGGCCCGATACAGTCAAGCTTGCCGCTGTAGCCGAACCACCAGCTCTTGTCGATAAAAAGGCCGTCCCGTGCTTTCTTGGTTTGTGCGACTGATATCACAGATTTATTCACGGCTTTTCACAGATATTTTAACCCTTGACTCACCTCACAGAGGAAGACACGTCATTTGTCTGGAGAAATGAGAAAGAGCCAGCTTTTGCTGAGCTGCGAAAGATTATGCAGTCAACGCCCGTTTTCGTTCATTTTGACGATGATGCTGACATGAAGGTGCATACTAACGCCAGCGGTATCGGGAGAGAGCTCGTTCAGCCCCAAGATTGCACAGAAAAAGTCATAGCCTACGCCAGCTGCTCCTTACCCTGTGCCGAAGTAAATTATTTTACAAAGAAGAAACAGTGCCTTGACGTCGTGCGGGCAAGTTTCGCCTGTGTTGTTATGGTCACACCTTCAAGACAGTGACGGACCACTATGCACCCGGTTGCTTGGCAGACATGCGCGACTTTTCGGGATGACTAGCACTGTGGAGCTTGCCGCTACAGGAATCGGACAACACCATCGTTTAAAAATCTGGCCGTAAGCATGAAGACGCCGACACATTGACAGGCTCGCCCATTCATTTTGTCAATCAAGGAGAGGATACCGATTGAGGTTTCTTTGGCGTCATTAGCTTGTCGCATTTGAGCACATGGCAGCGACATGACACCGAGCTTCAACCGATCATCGATCAGTTAGAGGGCCACAATATAGCCATACTACACTATCTATCCCGTTCATTGAAGTCGTTCTGTGTGCAAGATGGCGTGTTATGTAAGAAAACACCCCTTCGAGTTACCATGCATGCTTACCTCCTAATAGTTCTCACAGACATGACAGACGACGTACGTTTCGCTTGCCATGACGAACCTACATCTGGCCACCTGGGCTTCTGAGGAACACTTGCAAGAGTAAGTGAGAGGTACTATTAGCCCAAACTTTTGGTGAGCGTCAAAAAGTACGTCACAAGTCGTCGTGAATGCCAGAACCGAAAGAAACTCTCTCTTAAGCTGGCTGGCATACTTCGCTTTATTGAAGCACCTTGCACGTCCTTCGACCAAGTCGGTGTGGGCGTTGTCGGACTAGTGTGCTGATCGCAACAATTGGGTGATCGTTGAGAGTCACAAC